GTGCATCCACAACGGGAACGTGTTACAGAATAATGTGCATGCAATAGCCTAGTTTTGGCGCCGCAATCCTCATGTCTTGGCACTCATAGAGAAGACCACAAACGCTCATAATTGAGAAAAGAGTTACCTCATAGCATTGTCGTTTGTAATCATCGAGCGAAATTGCTGAAGGTATTTGGCCAAATCCTCGGATACTGTAACACCACGAACACAGAGCTCGATAGTAGGAGCGATCAGTTGTCGCCATGTCAGGTGCTTGGAAGAGAATTTCTCGTACGCTCTGTAGAGCCCGCTAAGAAAGCCGGGAACAGCAACGGCCTTTGGACCTACACACAAATGAACAAGTTTATTACTGTGAACTCGAATTTGAATCTTGGATAAGTCTTATTGCTAGTTAGGAGTGAGAGTAGTTTATTTCGGCTTTTTGAAGTTTAAGTTAGTTTCCTGAACCAAATCCACTCCACCTGCGTTGTGTAACCATGTAACCTGAGCACCGTTTGAGCACCGCTCATCCGGGGATTTGCACAATAATCGAAACACGCTATCCCCCATAATGTCCTGACTAGAATCAAAACCACTCCCCACTTAAGGTTGATGTCTTAAGGGGTTGGAGGACCAGGGAAAGAGTCACCTCTACAACACGAAGATTCAGGGCCAGATTTCCAGCGCCCCATCGCTGACCTTCTCGCACAGCATCCCTTTGACAGTGGCTAGACTATGTCGGAATTGTCTGGTAGGTGGACTTAGACATGTGCACGAGGGGGGTATGAGGGAGAAGGGAAGCCATAGAGCAGAATTTTGTCCCCGCATTCTGAAACAGAAGTTGGCAAATTTTGCTGAATTCAACCGTGTGCCCTGACTGAAAATTGAGGAGGCCTTCCATGTGAACGACGTTAGAAGAATTTGTTACAGTGACCTGGAGCATGGCTGGAGCGTGACGGGGTCCTGAACGGATCGTAAATCACTACGACCACTCCTCAAACCCTTGCTGGAAGTGACTCGCACTTCCAGGGATGATTTCTTTAAGTATGCATCCACTAGGGACTCTATTCAAGAAATGATGTAGCAGATCCAGGCTGGAGCAGATACGGTATGCATCCTCGAGCTCGACAGCAACGGCAATGGTGTTCATGCTGGACTTATCAAGAGTGGCAGTGACCCGAATGAATATTTGCAGTAAGACAAAACAGTAAACGCAGCGATAAAATCGCAGACTTGGCCACATGACTTAACCAGTGAATGTTTTGTAATCTTGTGTCCGCCATGGTAACTTTGAAGAGAGATCGCTAGGTTGACAGTAGAGTTTGACGCTGATTTATCAAATATTCAATATCTAATAACAATTCGGACTTTTTAGGAAAAAATGTGAGGCACTCAAATTTGCACAAGTAACGCATTATGATGAGTGCAACGCTACGTTGCTTGTTCCTGGATTATTTCCTAATTAAAGTATGTGTAATTCACGACTCGAATGAATGTCCGAAAGAAAGGGAAACTGACCTAGTTGAGGGACCCACGGACCTCCTGAGGGTGCGAACTGACGCGCAATTCGCATGGAAAAATTTGACCTCGGCGACCTATCATGCCTCAAAGCTGGCGGGTCCGGCGATCTCCGCCCACCGATCATCTGATCACTCGCCGTAGTTCAATACGTGGCGAGTGATTAGATAGCTGAGAGAGCGTAGTGTTGAAGAGGGCACAGCGATGAGAGTCGCATCAATGCTCAAATCAACGGGCAAGGAAGGGGTCCCATTTCTCGGGTTCTGGGCCGTTTCTCATGGTTCTTCCTTCTTTCGTGTACCACTCACCATCCCTAGGTTAATTTGAAATGGGTTGCTTTTTCATCGTGAATTCGTCCTTTAAGGTAATCGTAATCAGGGTAAATTCGTGCCCTGATTACCATGACTCGTTTTGCGCAGAGCCACGGCGACTGTGATTCCACCAGGTAAGCTCGCCTCAGTAACGTTTTTGCCAACTTTGAAGGCTCATAACTTTCTTAGGAAGTTCACGTAGCAGTTTTAAGTGTCCATATTTGTAATCAGCGTTCAAGACTCTATCGATACATCTAGGTCTCCTTTCAAAGTTCCATGGGAAGTTCAAAGCAGTCATTTTTTCAGCCTCCCCACACAAAGATCGGGGTCATCCTGTTTTTCCAAATAGTACCCATTACGCATACTATTCCAAATTGAAGTCCCACTCAAATGCCGAACTAGCCTGATTGCATCTTCACGTTACTATATTTTGTGATATGTTCTGTGCCTGTGAAAAGTCTTCTTACCTACAACTGTTTCATCACGCCGATTCAAGAAGTACGCTTCCGTAGCTGCTGATGGACAAGTTTCTCTGAAAAAAGAATGCTAAAAACGTAACACCAATTCTGTTTTAACCGCTGCAGGGCTTCTCGCTGCTCTGGAACTCCTTTGAACTCATAGCCTTGTTTCACAAGAATGCTGGGTTGTGAACAAAACTTTCGCCCCAGGCGGGACTAGAACCCGCACCTCTCGCTTTCCGGGCAAGTGCGCTACCAGTTACGCTACCGGGGCACCATTTCATTCCAACTCAGCTTTTCATGGTATACTTACCATAGCTTGTCAGCACTCACACAGTATGCCATGAAAAGCTTCGAGTTCTAGTCCCGTCTGGGGCAAAACATTTGTTTACAACCCAACACTCTTGTGACACAATTCGTAGCCTTGTGTTCTGTGGGCCCAGACCATGAAGATATGGGTTTCGATGGGTATCTGTACAGGAGGAGAAATGCTATTAGGCGGACTATCTATAGCAAATATCAAAAGGGGACCAAAAAGAAGAGAGTTCGTCTCTGCGGATACTCCTGGAGTGATTGCGAGAAAAAGGAAAAAAGGGAATTACATGTATCGTGGCCCATGCAATTTGCCTAGGAAGCAGAATAGGCGCTCTGCGGATGTGGGTTCGTATATGACTCATAGGTCGTAATAGCCGCAGCAAGGACCCTGTATGGGTTGGAACATGGTATAGCGGCGCCTCAATTTTTCATTTTTGCACACAAACGTTCGAAGTGAAAAATAAAATCATGGAGCTAATCAGTTTCATGATTTTATTTTTCATCAGAGTATAACATGATATTGGTTTTTCTTGAGAGTTAGCTTATACGCTCGAAAAAATGCTGCGATATTTCGTTTCAACCCAATAGATGAGGATTGTGGTGTAGAGTTGCAAAGACCAAAAGATTACCTCGAATTCAGAGTGGTGCAAGTAGATGCATTGTAGATCGTAGCCATAAGTCCTCCACCGAGTCCACCTCGATGAGGAAGCGCAGCTGACAACAAAA